AACCTAAAACTATAAAACTTATAGAAAAAGAACATGGGAGTACATATTTGTGTCTTTGGGTTAGACAAAGATATTCCAGAGAGGACACAAAAAGTATAAACCTAAGGAAAGAAAATATTCGTGCTATTATGCCAGCACTTTTAACCATCATTGCTTTTAGACCTCAATGCACTGAAAAAAGTAAATAAATAAAATCTGGCCAGGCGCAGTGGCTCACATTTGGGAGGCCGAGGCTGGCAGATCACCTGAGGTCAGGAGTTCGAGATCGGCCTGACTAACATGGTCAAACCCCGTCTCTACTGAAAATACAAAAATTAGCCAGGCGTGGTAGCAGATGCCTGTAATCCAAGATAATCGGGAGGCCGACGCAGGAGAATAGCTTGCACTTGGAAGATGGAGGTTGTGGTGAACTGAGATGGCACCACTGCACTCCAGCCTGGGCGACAGAGCAAAAAGTAAATAAAGTAAAATAAAATAAAATATAAATATAAATACATAAATAAAATCCTAAATTATTATCCAAATAATTTTTACTCATAGAGTCTCCCCTGAAAATTCTCATGAACCCTAAGAGGTCCATAGACCACTTTGAAAATAACATTTTTGCAACAATTAAAAATAATGAACTGCTAATGGATGCATCATACAGGTACAATGTTAAACAAAAGAAGCCAGGCACAAAGGAGAACATACTGTGTAGTTCCATTTATACAACTTTCAAGAACAGGCTACACTGCTCTATGGAGGAAGTCAGAATAATGGTTACCTATGGGGGTCGGGGGAAGAAGGGAATTAACTGAGAAAGGTCATGGGGGAAAGGACTTCTGGTTCTATATTTTTATTTGGGTAATGGTTTGTGCATTTTACTGTATGAATGTCAATGTCACACTTTAATTAAAATATAAAAAGAATATAAACCCTACAGAATATTTTCCTAATGAAACATTTCTATATTTAGAAGTATTTGATTAAACATCTTCTAACACTTTTATGCAACAAAACCGTAAGCAATGGGGCAACTTTAGGAAAGAATTCACAGCACTGAGAATCTGGAAATTCTACTTTGAAGATGATGGAGTATAACATTTATTTCGCATTTAATACTTTAATTGTTAAGTACATTTGTATTTATATGTATCTCATTTCAATAGATGGTTAGTTCCTCAAAGGTAGGAATGTATTTCATGTCTGTTATACTATAGAATCTGGTACACAGTAGGTGACTTATTGATTTATTTTCTCATTCACTCATGCAATAAAGATTTCTTTAGCATTTATGTGTAAGGTGCTTGCTAGTTCCTGGGTATATAATGATGGGTAGGTGTGGGGCTCAATAAATTCCTGTTGATAACTGATTGATAATTATCAGCTACATTTCAGAAAGAGTATAACTCTCTTTTCTCCTGAATTCCAAGTACAGGGGCACTAGAGATTTTAACCTTGTAAAAAAAAAGAGCACAAAAACACAGAGATGAATTAACTGACTTCTTAGGGTGATGCACTTGGTCATAAGTGGGGCAACTGATTAAAATGGTTACAGCTTCTTTCGTGGACCAAGGTGCAAGGGGAATTCATTCAGATTGACTTGGGTTAATATTTCATTTAAATGCTCTCATTTCACTTCTACTACATGCACCTTCTCTGACTTACGTTTCAGAACCTGCAGTCCGAATTGGTTTACTTCCACTTCAGATGCTGTCAAGATAAATTAGACACCAAGGGTCCATGATACCATCTGAAGCAGAACAGCTATTAGTAGGAAATATATAAGCAGTTTTATATTTCAATATAGTGTAGCACTTTTTTGGAGAATGTACTTTCTACTAAAAATGAAAGTGGATGTAACAAACCTTGGTGAATTTTGAAACATTAAAAAAATTCAAATTTTATTTTACTCTACATCCTCAGGCAAGTGTAGCCAAAGGAAGGTAGGTAACAGTAAATATTTTTATCTCCTTTCAATGCATCTACAAACCATTCTGCTGAATAAGATCTGACAGGTTCCTGACTGTGAGCAGAGATAGGGTAACAACTCGGATGATACATACACTTGCATCAGATACAGACTCCATTTCTGCTGTAATCATCCATCCATAGCCTCGCCTGCTCAGCTGACAAGCCATGTTATTAATAAAGCATATTGTACCACAAGAGCATTGCCCTACATGGTGTTTATCTTGTTGGAAACTGTAATTGTTTGAAACAATGGCCTCAGTGAAAAGATATGAAACATTATGAGCTGTGTAAAAACCAAAATAATTTGTACTAATAATGGTAGTTGTTTGTGAAAGATTAAAACACAGGTTATGCTGCAAAGAGTTAATGACTCAGTCTTGCTTTTAGGTTTACTTTTTATTCTAGTCCTGTGAGATAACCTGGAATTTCAAGCCAAGCCTGGTGGAGAAACAGAGTTCCCCCACCAGAAAGTAAACTCCACTTTGGCTTACTCACCAATGTCTCCCTAGCACATAGCACAGTACTTGGAAAACAGTCAACAGGTAATATTTGTTAAATGAAAGAAATGAATAAATATGAGTATAAGGAAAAAATGGAACACATTTCAGGTTCAAGCCAAGCCATTATCAGAGTTCTTCCAGGATGTGATTCAAAGAAATAGAGGTCGGACTCAATCTACAGGGGACAAGGACTCCCATATTGCTTCCCTTTCACCCTCTCCCAATTCAGCCAATGGAACTCCCACATTGCTGAGCCAATGGAGAAGCCCCAGGTATAGAACCAAGGGAGAAAAGGATAAAGTATGCCCTTTCCCATCTCCCC